ACCTGGAACTGTACAAAAGAACTGTTCGAAATATCTAACATGAATTAAGGCTTGACAATATGATACAAATAAGCCACAAAACAAGTATAGTGTATCCCACATTGATTCTGAAAACTCTCAAACCTTCAGAACTATATATTTGTTTAAAATGTAACTCTGTAGTTTGACATGTCCAATATTGTGCTATTATTGAAATGTGAATGTTGCAGTGGCGTAGCCAGGTTCTAAACTTGGGGGAGGGGGCAATATTTTTTATGGCATTTTTGCTATATTTTTATGGCTAACATAAAAAGCCATTTTTGAGTTACTGTAGGCAACTTGTTCGATTGAAAAAATATTTTTGTAAAACATTGTACACACAAATACAACAGCAAAATAGCACAATGTCTTATATATGCATGTTGATTGCTGCTATGCATGTAAATTCAAGTTCAAATGTGCTTTCAACCACCATAGGCATTTTTATTGGAGTTAGGATTCTAAATAGGAAAGACTACAACTTTTATTGGTAAACAGAAGCAGCGACGTCGCTATAGGGGTGTGGTGTGGGGGTGTAACACCCCACCAATAATTCAAACGTTGGTCAAAGTTGGTCAAAATGGAACTGATATTTGCCCAAAGTTGGTCAAAATGGAAGTAATATTTGCTTAAAATTGAAGGTAAAATTCGGGATAAAAATGGTCGAAGTTGGTTGAAGTTATGAAATGGCAATCACAATTTTAACAATTTTAAAGCTTTTGTTATGTTTGCGGTGAAAAAATTGGAAGCCTTGCTTATGTTGGTCGAAAAATTTTGACTATGCTTATGTTAGTCCGGAATATTTTTTTTGACTCCTCGTTCGACAACATTTTCAGGAAAAAACTTGTACGACTTGGTCAAAATCCTAGGAAATGTTGGTCAAAACATGACGTCCCTGAACAGAAGAGATGGGAATCATTATTCACACATCGTAAAGGACACCCTGCCAAAGCTATTGTAAAAGTCTACTGTACAGTATGTAATATTCTATGCATCTATTAATGTATGTATATTGTAATGTAAAGTATTTGCAAAGCTAATAAAGAAAAAAATAAATGAAAAAACTACAAGTATTCAAACGAAAAGAGGGGTTAAGAAAAGTAGTCAACCCCAATATTTTTACATGATTACAGTTTGTCTAAATTTATAAGGATACCATCTTTTACAACTTTGGCAGTGCTTTCCAAAAACAATGTTTCATTTGGTGACATCTTATGAAAGACAACTTTCTGTATGGACGATTTACCACTCCTGAACACAATCAAAACAACATTATTTTGAAAGCCATTTTAACCCATTGAGTGTCAGCACTCTCCTCTTGACAAGTAAAATCATCTGGCACTAGACAGAGTAAAATGACAAAGTAGGGTACACAAGGGTGCAATGCCATTTTAAAGGGTTAATTATTAATGCAGGCCTTAAAATATCGGTCGGTCACGGACATTGTCCGACCCATTCGTGAAATTGTCCGACGTAGGAAGGAAACTACCGGATATTCTGTCCGACCAAAGTGAAACAGGTTTATTGTTTGTCCGACCTAAGTGTATTTGTGTCCGACCGAACTGTAGCTTTGTCCATCGTAAATCAAAATGTATCCTAGAAGGTAACATAGTCGAGCGCAGGGCGGCGAGCAAAATGGTGAATTGGAAAACGGGCTTAAGTTGTTGAAGTCTTTTTTATTACTGCTGTTCTGGAAAGCAAGTTAATTTTGGCTTGGAAATAAGTATGGAAGAAACAAATTATTTAATATCTTCACAACATTTACCGTTCAGAATTAATACATTGTGCTGATATTCATTTGTGTCATTCAGACTTATTTTCAAGTCAAAACTGAACTGAAGGTCATTGGACATATGTCCGACCCAAACTCAACGTCATCGGACATTTTGTCAGACGGCCCAGTAAAAGATATTTTAAGGCCTGATTAATGCAGTCTAAAAATAGTGGAAATTGGACCTTCTTAGCCCCATAAGTAAAATTCTTGGTTTCTCATCACTTGACTGTGTGCTGTAATCCTCGTTGTCTCCTGGTTCATAACTACAAATAAAAATGCAAAAGATATATTTAAAACAGTGTTTAAATTTAATGCTGCCAATGGCCAAATGTAGACAATATAATTAATAATAATAATTTCTTGATTTATATTGTGCAATTATCAATCAGCAATTTTCAAATGTGCATTACGAAGATTTAAAAAATTACAGTATATATAAATATGTTACATATAAAATACCGTAAAGTTTAGCTTAAAGATGCGGTACAGTCCAATCTGCGCATGTGCACAAAAGAGCCCTCTTTTTATTTACAAACAGTTTATTTAGGTTTTCATCTCATTTTATGTTCTTGCAAAGCTTGATTGTTGTCTCTTGATAATTTATTACACTCTAGAATCATGAAAATATAAATAGTTGTCGAATAAAATTCAATATTTTGGATACCGAAATGTAAACAAAGCCTTTGTTTACATACAGACTGTACCGCATCTTTAACCATTCCAGGACAGCTATTCAAAAGCTTGACGAAATAAAAATGTATTACAGTCAAACCGGATGTTCTCTTGCAAGCAACATTGCAATATTGTCCAACAATATTGCAATTTTGATAGGCAGATTGCTCTGAGCAATTTGCAACCGATGCGAACAAAAAATTCACAAAAGATTTGTAAACAAAGCCTCTGATTGGACTATAAGAGAGAGGGAAGCACCAATCCAGTTGCTCAGACTATTTGGTTGGCTTCCCTCCTTCTTATAATCCAATCAGAGGCTTTGTTTACAAATCTTTTGTGGATTTTCAACTTGCAATTTGTTCGCGTCAGTTGCAATTTGCTCAGAGGAATTTGCCTATCAAAATTGCAATATTGTGGGACAATATTGCTTGCAAGAGAACATCCGGTTTGACTGTAATAGACTGTTTAAAAATATTTAAGGATGAGCAACTTCTAGGGGGCCGTCAACAAATAGATTTTGTCCACCAATCGCGGACTTGTTCCACGATAAGAAAATCAAAATGAGGACAAAATCTGAACACCAGGAAACACAACTTTTTAGTATTATAGTTGCTAGTAAATTTACGGTTACAAATTTTAAAAGTCACTTTTCATAAAGTTGCTTTTCACAACTGTCCAGAATCTTTCACGAGGGCAGACAGTACCCCCAATGCCTTCGTGAGAACGGCTAATTAAGTCCGATGTCTAAATTAGTTGCCCAACTTGTGCCGTAAATATTAGTTTGACTAGGCACATGTAAAGTTTGCCATCTAAACCGTGCCGGACAGGCCCTAAATCTAGCCATTTCACAGTGCAATGACCAAGATATCAAGTGACATCAGTGATCAGTTTGGCCAGGATTATAAATTAGGATTATTGCACTCACCCAAAATCCTTTGGAAATGATCCCACCATGCTGTAACTGCCGAAATTATCGTCGTCGTCGTACGACTATCAAAACGTTATTGAAATATAGTTATTTAAATACTACAAATACACTCAATATATACTAGAGATCATCGGAACGAACGCATATTACATTTGAGCCATTTAAACATTTGTACTACACTGGTCCCGATATAAAGCATTACAGAGTAAATAAACAGTAAAAACAAAGCTGTAGAATACAATAGGTTGTAAAAAATGCTTACGTCTGTCATATCCAAACGAAATGAACAGAAAATACTGGAAAATTCGATGCAAATTATTTTAAAAGACGAAATTTATATTTGGTGAAATTTCGAAATCATGTGACGAAGAATGACAAAGTTCGATTCGTATTGTCGTGCACAAATATCGCAGGCGTAGGAACACGAACGTGAATAAAACGCGCACGCTAAGTTAAGATGGGACACGCTTGCGACACGCTGAAAGTAATATGTTTGGGGAAATTGATCTACCAGTCAATCTCGTACCCAGAGCAATGCCTGTGCGCGGGCTAGGCAATGCCCGCGCACAGGCATTGCTCTGGGTACGAGATTGTGGCAGTGCTTATTTCGGAAATAATCGGAACGTACTGGAACAGACACGCATAAGAGTAAGCGGGTGGGGGTGGGTGTAAAGATGCGGTACAGTCCGTATGTAAACAAAGGCTTTGTTTACCGTTTCGGTATCCAGAATATTGAATATAATTTTATTCGACAACTATCTATATCTTCATCAAGACACAATAAAAACCTAAATCAACTGTTTGTAAATAAAAAGAGGGCTCCTTTGTGCACATGCGCAGATTGGACTGTACCGCATCTTTAATTTACAGTAAAACAATACGAGCTTTTGAAACTGTAATTTTTTTACTCTATTTTTCAATATGATCATTGGTTAAGATTCTGCTTGACCCAAGTTATCAAACCGTGAAACCGGAGATAAAATTATCAAACCGTGTCCGACGTGAAAGTGGTCTTGTCCGGCAGATTCATTCATTCATTCATACTTTATTTGACAATGCAGGTTAATTACATATGTCAACTAAAAGCTGATTTGGACCTACCTAGATTTACTCGGTCGCCGGATATCGTGTCCAGCGAACTAAAAAATATATATTCAGTAGGCCTGTTATATTAGTTCCATGTACCAGTAGATTTCGATGCCCTGACAGTCACCTACTGACGGCAATGTATCAAAAAAGTCTTAGACATAAATGTAAGAACATCGTTCGCAATCATTAACAGCCGACTGTAAAATTGACAAAGCTAAGACACCACGACAAACCACCCGTAAGACACGATCTGATCATGACTTTCGCTTTGTTCTCCAATGAATAGCACTTGCTAAATAAAGTTGATCAAAACAAAATACATTAATCATCGACAGTTTACTTTCTATCATAAAACGCTGTGGCAAATCTAATCTTTATCAAGAGAGAACAGTGACAGTACTCTGCAGTAACGTCGCCGTTTGACTAACTGACTTTATCAAAAGCCACCTGACTTGCGAATCAAATCAAATCAACAAAAAGACAAATATCCACGTCGATAAATATTGCTTTGGTATAGCCATGGAAGCAACGGCAATAATCAGTGAAATAGATATTACGGAACAAGACAACTCTTTAGAATCCACGAAACTATCCGATAAAACGGAGAGCGATGAGAATTCGTTAGCACAAATCGGAAAATACGAAGACCAAAATAGTGAATCAAATTTTGGAGGCGATTTGTCTTGTGTCGCCCAAATACCAATTAACGAAGATATGAAAACCGCCAAAAGCGTCGAAGATGTTTCATCGTTGAATAATGAAAATTGCGAAGACCATGAAATGTTTTCTGAATCAAACTCTAAAAAGGAACTCACCCTAGAATCGGAGACATCTAATGAAACTATCAAAAGTGTGCCAGAATTTCAATTTGCTGAACACGATTTGTCCAACGAATCGAATAGATCGACAAACAGAACAGAAAATTCTGAGACAAAGTCGGAAAATGTTTTACATGAAGACTTGCATGTCATGTCAAGAAATTTTAATGAATTGACAGAAATGGAAGTACAAAACGAACAGACAGAAGCGGCAAGTCTGAAAACGCTAAAGCCGGAGTCAGGGACAAAGACGGCAGAAAGATTAAACAAAAAGTTTACAATTCTGCACGAGGACGAGTTTTCGGACAGCGAAAAGGACTCCGTGGATATCTCGATGGTTTCGTTGTTGCGAAGCACGATTGGCGAGTTGGAACGCGCTTTGCGAGATTCACGCATGTTAATCAAAACACGTGATGAAGATATCGCCAGCCTTCGGAAAGAAGTCGAGAAAGGTATGTTGATTGAGATTTGGCTGAAGCCCCATACAGACGGGCAAGTTTTCTTAACAAGTTGACTTGCTCGTTTGCATTCCCCTCGACTAAAGGAATACCAAATGGTTGTCCGCGCAGGAATGTTGCGAGACTTTCGGAAAGCGTGCTTTTTTTACCAGCGTTCGTATACATGTCAGGAAGAGTCAAATTCAAGGACTTTTTAAGAACATTCAAGGCCATGTATCAGCAAATTCAAGGGCTAAATACTGAAGAGGCGTTAGAAGTCAGTAAAGTGTGACGTTGAATTTTTCAAAACGGGCGCAACTTTAATGAATTTCAAACAGCTTTATCAGATATTAACATGCAAAATCAATTCAACAAAATGTCTGTTTTGAATGTCAAACAATTTCAAAAAATATCCATAAACTAAAGCAAGAAGAATTTAAGGACTCTCATGTTTACTTCTTTACAAATTCAAGGATATTCAAGGCCTTGAATTTTTGTTTTCAAATTCAACTAGGACATTCGAGGATTTTCAAGTTTTGTACAAACCCTGTTTTATCGATACAATATACAAATCAATCAGAGTCGCTATCTTGATCATTTCCCGATTTGCCAGGAGGCAAATGCCGTCTCCAAAGAAAGTACATGTGCAGACAACACGAAACTTTAGACTGCAGAAAATTGCACATGAAGCAGTTATCAAACTCATATCACAGAAGTGGTAACGGACATGTTTGACAACGGAATGATATCTTTTTGTAACGTTTTTGGCCAGGTGCATGGGCATTTATGTTTTAACTGATATTTGAGGTTGGGTTCGAAATTATCCTTGCATTTTTCAGGTACGGTTGTATCTCTATCAATCGCAGGCCTAGAAAATATATCTCTCTTCCTGGTAGCAAAATAAAAAAATCTAGATTTCCTACGTAAGTCAAATATAAAACTTCCTCCATATATGTAGATTTCCGAGAACATGTGATGTCGCACATTTGTCAGATAAACGTCAAATCTCGATACAAGACAATCTGAACTTCCAAAACGCTTTTGGAATTTTTAAACAGTATATGAATAATCATGTTTCGCTCGCTACTCTGGTTTAAATGATTACAAAGCCCAGTCGAATTGTAATCAAGACCCAACGTTTCGACACTCCAGTCTAGTTTCTTCATCTGGGGTGATCTAAAATTGCAATAGTTTAGGGCTCGTTCAGACTGAGTGCCCGGCACTGGTGCCCAATGTTCAAAATGGTTCACAAAACATGTTGAGCACAGTGCCGTTGTTGAGTACTACCTCTAGAGGTAGTGCCCGTTCTTGGGCACTGTGCCCAATTTCATTTGAAAGCGTCGTGTTCAAACTGAGAGCCAAAACAAGTGCCGGGCACCAGTGCCGGGCACCCAGTCTGGACGCAGCCTTAAATACCCAGGGGATGACGTCACCTGCCAATGAGATGCATATATTCCTCTGGCAAATAGGCCCCGTCATCCCTATTCAAAGCATGATTACTAAGAAGGTGGCTTCTTGCAATTTTAGATCACCCCTGATGAAGACACTAGACTGGAGTGTCGAAAGTTTCGACTCGAAACGTTGGGTCTTGAATACAATTCGACTGGGCTTTGTAATCATTTATTTAAACCAGAGTAGCGCGAGCGAAACATGATTGATATACCTGGTTGCAGTGAACGAACAAACTTTAAGTATATGAATAAATTTTATGGCATTCAAGTATATAAAATGACTGACAAAAAATATTTCCGGGCCGTTTTTGAGACCGAGACAAAATATTTTTCTATCCGGACCGACCTAAACGGTAAATAACGTATTTATTTTTTTGTCGAAGACTCAGAGGCAAATGGCAACGGTTTTACTAGATTGCGCATATGGAAAACAAAACAATAAAAAAATTTTGATATTTAATTATTTTACTTTAGAAAACAAACAACTCAATTAAAATACAGTACAATTATTTTATCCATCATTAAAATTATTTCAAAATTATATATTCATATTAAAATTATATTCACATATTCATATACAAAAATTTTTGCTTTGCTTCGGCCATTACGTATAGGATTCCGGACCGTGGTCAAATATCGTAAAATTCCGCCGGCTGCTGCAGCCAATCAGATTGCAGAAAACGCTAGGATTCCGCCCGCTGCTGATTTACAAAAAGAAAAAACATTTGTTAAGAATTTCCTGGCAGCGGTGCTGCTGGTGCTGCCGCAAATACTCCAGCACTGATCAATCGGCAGACTTCTTTCACCAAAATCCGGCCTTCTTATAAAGAGCATTATTTTCAGTAACTCCTGATGTCATTCCGTATAGGTCGTGAACAAATACACAAAGAACAACTAAAATGGCAAAGAAAGTGCGCAGTTGTAGATGGACGAGGACGAGAAATCCAAGAACTGAAGAAGAAACTACTGGATTCCGAGAAAACGGTCGACGAGCTCTCGGAACGAATCAAGGAATTCGAATCGCCATGTAGCGAATCCGATGACATTGTCGCCTGCTGCTCTTCGATGAAAGAACTTTTGGAGCTAAAAATGGAATTGGTCGAAAAAGATGAAATTATTAAAGAAATACAGAAGAATAATCCCGAAGATGTTTTGGAAAACGCCATGGTCTCTGCGCAAGGCTGGAAAGCGAAGGAGAAAAGGGAGAAGGCTGCAGAATCTGACCAACATAATCAATTGAAGTTGAAGTTTTTGAGAGATGCATTCTTTTATTTCATGATTGATTTTCATAGCGAAGAACAGATTAAAGCAATACTAGCAGTCTTGTCATACGGGGATCAGAGAGAAGACGTGATACATCAAGCATATCGTATGAGACAGCGAGGTAAAAAGTTTGCGGTGAAGGAAGTCTCGTCCAGGGGACTTGCATTTCTACACGAGGAAAGTTAAGAATGGAAAGCTAAAGAAATTCAAGATCAAGAAGAACCTTACAAGTATAAATTATTAAATCAAGTGCAATTCGAAATCACTTGAATCCATTCCAAACCTAGTCGGGTCCCATCCAAATCCAGTTCAATCTGTATCCAAAAACATATTACAGGGTGCAAAGTAAGAATTTTTTCTGGCCTACAATATAACAACCTTTTTAAAAATTGTAGGTCATGCTAGTTTTGACCTACAAATTTCAATTTTGACCTAGGAAACGTTTTTCTAATATTCATGTGTATGATATGCTGCTGTTGTTTTGGTTTGAAATGATGCAATAAACATCAGTTGACCTACAAATTTTTCGTGAAATTGTGGCGATTTTTTGGCCTACACAATATAACAAAAATGTATTTTTTGCATGACGATTTGTCATTTGTAGGCCATTTATTCGCACTCTGACTCTAATCTCTAATGACAATCCTATAATAACTAGTATGTCTATCGTAGCATTTTTATTACAAAAATCTACTGTATACATTGTACTAAACATTAATTTTTTGAAGAAATACGATTTCCTAGTTGTTTTTAATAGCATTATTAAACAAAAGTTGCTTGTTAAAAATCTTGCTTCTGTATTTGTCAAATTGGTATTGCCACTATATCAGGAATTTAAAAGCTGAACGCTTTGAAGATAGAGATTTTGAGTGAAAATTATATTCATCTTTAGTCAGGAGGAGTTGCAAAAATGCAATTTTAGGCCCTCCATTACCCTCGTGGTAACTCTTCTTACAGTAACCAAGTAAAATATGAAGACATGAGATTAGAGAGCAATTATCTGATCAATGTTATCTGATCAATGTTATCTGATCAATGCTATCTGAACAATGCTATCTGAACAATGTTATCTGATCAATGCTACCTAGTCACTGTTATCTGGTCACTGTTATCTGGTCAATGTTATCTGATCAATGTTATCGGAGTTAAACCTTGATTGGAGCTTGCTCTGTTGTTTAACTCCTCGTATAAATGTACGAAAGCTTATTAAAACTAAAACTAAATTATCTGATCAATGTTATCTGATCAGTGTTAACTCATCAATGTTATCTGATCAATGTTATTTGATCAATGTTATCTGATCAAATCTGGTCAATGTTATTTGATCAATGTTATTTGATCAATGTTGTCTGATCAATGTTATTTGATCAAATGAATGTTATCTGATTAATGTTATCTGATTAATGTTATCTGATCAATGTTATCTGATCAATGTTATCTGATCAAATGGTATCTGATCAATGTTATCTGGTCAATGTTATTTGATCAATGTTATTTGATCAATGTTGTCTGATCAATGTTATTTGATCAAATGAATGTTATCTGATCAATGTTATCTGATCAATGTTATCTGATCAATGTTATCTGGTCAATGTTATCTGATCAATCTCAACATACAGTAGCCAAGCTTGTAATAAACACTGACTTTTTGGTTTCAACAATATTGTTCAATCTTGACATTATTACTGAATGACAAGTTTGACTCCTTTGCAACCTAACTGATTTTTGGCTGGGTAGCAGGGCCAGGTTGTTCTATATATTGCTGAACTACTGAGATGTTTCCAGTTGTACAATTAAATTTAAATCTTGAATTAAAGCTCTGAATTTTTCGATAAGAACTTTTATCGTTTCATTTTTTCTTTGTACTTCCTGAAATAATAAAGATATGACAATTACACAATGTATAATATATAATGAAAGAAAGTATAAAACAGACTGACACATTTAACCCATTAAGTGGCAGCACTCTCCACTTGATAAGTAAAATTGTCTGGCATTAGACAGAGTAAAATAATAAAGTAGGGAACATCAGGGTACATTGGCACTAAAAAATAACAATTTAAATAATTTATCATTTTTATTAGCGCATTATGATTAAATTATCCACTAGGCAAATGTGTTTGCACAAACAGTAAAAAAGTAGGAACTGATCCAAAAAGTAGGAACTGGTTACCAAGATTTGTTTTTCGTTCGCTTTGCACAAACAATTTCGCCTAGTGGAAAATGGGCTTTAATGTACACTTTCAAGGAATACCATTGAAATAATTAAGGGGGGGGGGGGGACATAGATCATGTTACAATATAAGTAAGGTGGTGGGTACAGTATTATAGTTTTGAAAGATTTTAGTATGTGAAGTATTAATGTATATAGTATACCTTACATGGAAATATTTAAATAACCAGGAAATCCTCTACTTACTTTTTGCTAACAATGAGCTTACTTTATTTGAACAATATGAACCCCCAAATTTATAGATTTTTATGTTGTAGCTAGTAAAATCACCTGTCATTAGACTGAGTCAAAAAATCAATTAGGGTGCATGAGAGCGCAATGCCAGTTAACTGAAGTGTTAAGAAACCAATACCTTAATTAAGCTTTCTCTTTCAGCATCATGCATATCCATGACCATTTGACTGGGGTCATCTTCCAAAGGTAACAAATGCTAAAAAATAACACCTTAGTTCTAAATTAACAACATATTATATCCCCCTAGTTTAAAAATAATGCCTCTCCCAGCAAATCTATGATTGGGCACAATGATGGTGAAAATTCTCTTATAAAAAATTCCTGTAGGAATCTCAATTTTTGGATTCCTATACAAATTTCTATAGTATAGAAATATAATTTGCTATAAGAAATTTAATTAAAATAAAAAAAATTATTTTAACATAGTAGTAAAGCTAATGCTTGTGGGACTGGAAATTGGATTTCCTAAAGGAATAGTTTAAAATTCCAACAGGACCTTAAAGTTACAGGTTAGGTATTATTTTCTATTATCTTTAACGTGGTATGCTCATGCTTATGCACTTGTAGTATTATAAATATTTTGCCAAACATGTGAATAAATTTTCATCAATACTGTTTCATTAGAAATACGTAATTTCCTAATGTAATTTCTGTTTACAGGAACATTTAAGAATTATTTGCCGAAGGTGAGGTCATCATCAGTGAATAAAAACCAAGACGAAGTCAAGTTTTTTATTTACGATAATCACCAAGCCCGAGGTGAATAGTTGTTTTAGTATAATTTCATAGGTGATTATTTGGAAAAAATATACATTCTTCATTATTTAATTGACAAAACGGCTTCAGTCGCCATTTCAAAATTGCTTAGGTGATTATCGCGTTATTGTAAAATAGCTGCCATAGATAAATTTGCCAGCCTAAGAATTTCTAAACGCTTCCTGCATACGACATACTCCAACCTGGTCAAGGATACTTTTAATGTGGATATGCCATCATTGCCATGCACTTGGTCACTCACACGCGACTGCTCCTGCCATCGTTCCTAAACTGCATTAAGCCTGACGCACACAAGAGCAACTTGCTGAGCTAACTGCCTCGCAAGGCGATTAGCTCAGCTATGTATTTTCACCGCACATGTTGGGAAAACTACTCAACAACAACATAATTAACAAAATTATTTGCATTTTCCTCCATTTTGTTCCATGTCACATGAAGAAACCATGGTTAATTGATTGAACATTGGCTAATTGATTGAAACAGCTCAGCACTTAGCTCACAATATCCGCAGACGCTGAGATTTTTTCCTCGCGAGGCAAAAAATATCAAACACAATAGATATTTTCCTCATGGCCTCGAGAGGTCAAATCCTCACGAAAACTATCCGCACACGAGAGCAACTTGCTGAGCTAACCGCCTCGCGTGGCGGTTAGCTCAGCAAGTTGCTCTTGTGTGCGGCAGGCTTTATGTATATATTAAAAGCGGATATCCCTGCCTGCTAGCCTCCATATAAAAGTCCTCATCATTGATATTTATACCTCAATATTTCCAGAGCTCAAAACATCATGTACTTCAGGCATCCTTCTCCTTGTCTCATCATACACATTCCTCAACTTATTAATCAGTTCCTTTAAACTTTCCAATGTTTCCTGAGCACTTTTAGACAACTGCTGTTGCTTCTCCTTGCTTCCAGACTTTTCCACATTCAGTACTTCGCAGTCTTGTAAAGATTTAAACAGTGCACTGGCCTTTTGAACAATTTCTTGTACGAGTTCTTGCCCTTCAACTGCAACCGCTATGCTAGTTTTTGAAGCGTCAATGGGTAAGGTGTCGGCCATTTCGACTTGAATTGTTGGCGGAAAGTTCATGGCTTGGCTGTGAAATGCTAAATTTGTCATTTGATGATGACCCATTCCCCTGTGGGCGGCCATTTTGTTTTTTGCTCGAGCAAGCGAGAACAAAGGAAACGGGGGGTTAACAACTCATTGTCAGCATTTTCTTTTGAAAAAGAAATTAAAATAATTGCCCAAAATGGAGTAATTTTCAAAGGTGTTTCAAATTAAAATAACTTTCCCTCATACATAATTGAGGAATTATTTTAAAATCGAATGATATTTGCATTAAAAAAGCGAAAATGCAGCACCAAAGTTCTAAAATACTGAAACAACCCCCCCTGGAATTTGAAGGTTCTCCATTTTCCCGCGTAAAAATTGAAGTACACGAAGCGCTTCAAAATGGCGGGTTCGTTTCAATACAATTCTGTGGACAACGCCGTAGGAAAACTCTCAAAAATACAAGAATATCTCGACCTTGGCTACTCGACGGCACTGGAAATCGCCCTTGACATAGAAGAAAGCAATTCGACGGGCGAATCGTCTCCCGAAGTCGAGAATTTAAAAAAGGTCACGTTGGAATATGCTCAAATGGAGCAAGAATTAAACCAATGGTTAAACGCCGCTGAAATGACTAAGGCGGCCTTCCAAAAGGAATACAAAAATGTTAAAGAGTATGTGTTTTGGAGTAGTTTTTGCCCCCCCCCCCCTGCCATACCAAATTATCAATGAATAACCCATTAAGTTGCAATGTGCCCCAATGCACCCCCATAGTGGAAAGTACGCTTTGGCTGCGGCAGGAGACTGCCGCAGTTGACAAGACCATGTATTCTATCCTGCCGCAATGCCAAAAATATTCTGCCGCAGGTAAAAATTCATGACTACACGCAATACCGCTGACCACTAAACAGGAAACATTGAAGCCTTCACTCTTTAAAAAAAGATGTGATATTAAAATCAACGCAGCTTTTTTGTCGAATAATGAATACATCTTAAGATGTGTTGATACAACACACATTTTCAACATTTACTATTTCTGCCGCACTTTGCCTGCCGCAGGAGATCTCCCGTTAAAGTGCCCAACTTTCCACTATGGATGCACCCTAGTTTATTTATATTATTGTTAGTGATTAACTGATTGTGCTCAGAAACTACAGATTATTCATCCAACAATCTACCCGATATTGATTTTATAATGACGTCATAATGTCACTTTGTGTGTGTGTTGTAGTGTTACTCTGAGTGTGCATCCACACCGGGCAAGCTGAAATTAAGTTTGCCTGATCACGGTGGGAATCTAACCTGCGACCTTTGGGATACTAGTCCAATGCTCTACCAACTGAGCTACAAGGTCAGGTCGGTTCGAGCATATTAGTCTGAGTACATAACACCAACTCACTTCTAGGGATGAGCCGATTAATCGGTAAATAATCGGCAAAGCCAATTAATCGGCCGTTTTTTAAATAATCGGTAATCGTCCGATTATTGCCTGATAATCGGCAAACAATCGGCCATAAGACTTTTTCTGCTGCTGCCAGTCACATGCTAAAATACTGAATACAAGCGAATAGATTTTCACATTTTGTTGCAAAACCTGTGTCTTTTGTCTCAAGCGAAGTGAAGCTGGGAACATTTCCACTAAAAAAAATGCAACAAACTAGCTCCGCATAGCTGACCATGTCTTGTTTTTGCAGCATAATCTGCCAAAACTAAACTTTGACTATTGACATGCGAGACTGAAGCTGTTTTCAATTGTACATAGTGTGTACTGTAAACAATAAAACCGCATTTACAACTTCATTGTTGGTCATCTTGTGATTTTTCGCTTGCTTTTTAAAATAATCGGTGGGTACCGATTAATCGGCCGATTAGTTACAATAATCGGCTTATAAATAATCGGCCTCAGTAATCGGCAATTTTCCTTATCGGCTCATCCCTACTCACTTCAATCACCAATTATTTTACCCAGTTAAAGGACGACATGGCAAACTTATTTTGAAAATCTCTTTGTAACAGGACTTCCATTTAAGAGGGGAATAAAAATTCAGCAGGTCTGCAACTCAAATTTAGTGCTGGGGGGGGGGGGAAGAGACCCCAAGAAAAATGTCCCCCCAATAACACACAAAATCTATAGGGGCAGTAAGGGGTTGATATACTGTGATATATGGTAATGGTTGATCTATTTCTTAAAGTCACAGTGTTCCAAGCATTGAAGACATTCTAATGAGTAAACTTAACGAAACAGACACGACCGAGAATGACCTCCAAAAGCACCCTAAAGCCAAGGAGTTTATAAAGCAAGTTTGGAATGTTAATCATGGCGGCCAACCTTTACCTACAGATCAGAATGAAACTATTGATTCAGATATTATAATTGCTCAGGTTTGTGTTAGGAACTGTTCATTTAACCCATTAAGCTAAAATTAGCTTGTTCAAGTTTTAGATGATGCTCTCCCAAAAAATTATATTGGTCAGAGAACTGTTTGACAAAATGTTTGATGACTTTGGGTCGAACATATGTATTGTGATATCCGATGACTTTGAGTTCAGGTTGGCTTGGAAATAAGTATGAATTCAAATTAATATCAGTACAATTTAGGAAAGCCATTTGAATCTTGGCAATGAATTTCCGAATCCCACGGTGAAAACACTGCACTTGATTACACATTTCACTGTTCACAAGCCTCTAGTCCTGGACTAGGGTAAATTTTGATTACATTGGACAAAGTTGCAGTTAGGTCGGACACCAATTCACTTAGGTCGGACAGAATGTCCACAGGTTTTCTCTCTACATTGGACAATTTCACAAATGTGTCGGACATTGTCTGTGACCGACCAAGATTTTAAGGCGTGGTGTAGTGGGAATCAAACCAGTGATCTCTGGTTTGTTAGTCCAAGACTAAACCAACTGAGCCAAACTTTGTTTCATGTTTTATAGGCTTCAGAAGAATCCATAATCTGTCCACTAACCCAGAAACAGATGGTTGAACCAGTGAGAAGTAAGAAATGTCAACACAGTTACGAGAAGGCGGGAATCATTCACCACATTCGAGCAAGACAGAACCGAGTTCGCTGTCCTGTGGCTGGTTGTGCACATTATGTCGTAGAAGCTGATCTCGAACCCAACTCAAGCCTTGCATTCCGTATAAAAAGACTACAGAGGAAACAGTAAAATTGTGCAATAAAGTGTTAGCAGAAACAGAGGAAGCTAGCTAGTGCATTGTTTTACAATGTGAACTTACTAACTTAGTACTTTAAAGTGTTTTGTTTTGAAAACGTGGACTGGTCACTTTGCACAAGCACTGACATCATTACGGAGACAAGCCAAACAAGTTTTTAAGGGCGGACCATTCGAAGGAAAACAAAAGAAAAATACCTTTTAAAAAATTCTACAAGAAATTCCAGAACAAGCAGACAATTCATGCAACCTAACAATCCCCCTCTTTTTAAAGACTACAGTATATATACTGTTACCTAATACTGTACAATCTTGAAAATGGATGGTATTAAATCCAATTTATACTGGCTTACATGTAGTTTTGTGATAATGGTACCATATAAAATATAAGATTCAGTGATAAAAGCGAGCACAAAAACTTTAATCTTCAAACAATCAGTGACTTCTACTGTTTGAGCTACTAGTAGGGGGGTATTAAACATTTTCATTACATTAACTGTAATTATATTCATTTAGAGTAACAGACAGTTGTTAAAGATAATATATGCAGTATTATATATATAGTTTAAATGTTTAATTATATTAAATTAAAGTTGTTCTGTTATGTTGGTAATAAATACATTAATTCATAGAATTGTACTCTTCTAGTATCAATGCAAGTTGTGTTTTTTTGTATGACAACTGCATTTTCAGCTCTTTAATGCAGAAAATATAATATAACAGTGGACTCTTAATAATGCAGAATCTTTCGCGGATTTAAACGTGTCTATAAACTACCTCGAAAGTTTAAAAATACTTCGCAACAGCTTGTAGCAAACTTCACAACAAGTTGTAACGATGCTGTTAGTTTGTCAAGTTGTTACAAGATTGTCACTCACAAGTTGTTGAAATGCAGGATGATAACAAGCTGTTGGAATAACTTTATAACAAATCTGTCCATGAGACAGCGTGTCAACAAGATATGTTCGCAACAAGATATGTTCGCACTGGTTGTTTTCAGTTGTAATGGACGACTTGCGCTTTAGACTAAATTTTAATCTAAGTAAGAACAACGAAATCTATCACCACAGCTAGAAAGAGCGTCTTGGAATTAGTAATATTACAAAGTTTGGTTGCGAAATGTTGTAAAATACGGAAAATATAGCCCTTCAAAGTTGGCAAATTTGTATACTTTTGTATTACGTGCGTGAATTGGTAACTAAATTAGTTACCAACTATTTCCGCACGTAATAGAAATGTATACAAATTTGCCAACTTCGCAGGGCTATATTTTCCGTATTTTACAACATTTCGCCACCAAACTTTGCAGTTTTTCTAATTTTGATAACTTCTTTCCGAAAATATCCTTTGTTATTCCCAGATTAAATTTTTTTCTAAAGCGCAAGTCGTCCAATGACAAGCTCATAGCAACATTTACGAACAGCCTGTGTTAGTCTCGTTAGAACAACTTGTAGCAAATCTGTTACCGTCATCAACCTTGATGGTGATAACAACACTTGTTCCAAACTTGTCACAACAACTGGGAACAAGCAGTGCGAACACATCTTCAGTTGATATCGGTTTGACAACAACCTTGTTACAACTTGTTTGCAGATCTGTAAAGCCTAGTTCTCATTCATCGTAAACCGTCGGCGACGGGAGCTTTGCGACGTCGGCGACGGCTTGCGATTTATGAGAACGCATCAAAAATTATATCGCCGATTGTCCCTAATCGTCGCCGACCATCGGCGATGACATCGCAGGAAACAAAAAAGTTTGTTTCTTGCGACCATCGCCGACTGCCACCTGCTTGAAAAATCTATGAGAAATGAGTAAAAGTTGTTTTTTCCTCAACAAGCAAGGAAATAATCAAGTGAAGTTTCACAGAAATCATGTACTTTACGTTGAATGGGCCCATTTTGTGCCTTGGTGGGAAATTTCGAAACACATTGGCTGTCATCTGCGACGATCACCGATGTATGAGAACTTTCGTGCATTCGCGCTCGGCGAGTATCGGCGATAAGCGTCGCCGATCGTCGGTAACAGTTTGCGATGAATGAGAACTAGGCTTAACAACTTGCGCGTTTTTACGTGTGTACAGACATTCCAACTAGGGAGACTGTTCAGTGAATTGAAATCTAGTTCTTCTGGGGAAAAATAATAAAAATTAAGTCTTTTGAAATGGCGTTTCCTGCACATGGGACTATGTTGTTATAAATGATCCTATAAATTGCCATAAAGTAACTTCAAAAAAGGTCCGAGACAGACTATTATGTTGCTAAAAACAGTATATTTATATTTTTTTTTATGATATTTCCTGAATATTCTGAAAAATCGAGAGACCGGGAGATTGCATGAATTTTCGGGAGACTCCCGGTAAAATCGGGAGAGTTGGAATGTCTGACTGTGTACAAGTCAGTCGAGCCAACAACCTTGTAGCAAGTTGTCAATAAGCCGTTGAAAACTTGCCAATATAAAGCTGCGGACAAGAAGTGCGAACACATCGTGTTGACAAGTTGTTGGAACAGCATTGCTACAAGTCAGAAGTCTGTTACAACTTGTGCGTGTTTTTACATGTGTAGTATTAGTAGTACATTAACTTCGTTGCTGGCTATACGAAGATAGTGATTTTTTAAAGCTTAATTGGTGTACTCCAAAGTCCAGTTAACGTTCAGTAAATATAGCTTATTATTGTGAACTTCTCATCCGTAGTTTCACAGCTTATTCGACATGTTACAACGATATATTGTTCCAACATTTGTTTCTCGAACGAAACTTTACGACTTTTAACTACAGTATACAACGCTTGATAACATCACATTTTTCAGGCTTAGTTTTGTGGAATCAGGCGTTTTCGGTTAGCGTCGACGACAACTGAGCTCGCGAGAAAGTCATAAGGTGTCCGAAAGTTCTGCAAGAACATAGTGGTAAATATGATGGGAAAGAAAAATGTAATCATGAAATTCTTCAGCGTAGCTCGAACACACGACCTGAAATAAATAAGAACCCAGCTGTTAAAAATATTTACAACTAATAAAAACTGTATTTTTCCCTCCAGGCGAGACTTTTTTTATTTATTGGTTTACGGATTTGACTTTAAAAATAAGAGGTCGGTAGGTCGGAAAAAAATTTAAAAAAACGAACTGAGTATAAATGAGAACCGAAATTAATAATCTTTATAAAATTTTTTAACGTCAATTTAAAAAAAACAAACAAAAAAAAACCCGCAAAAAACGTGGCTAATCTACATATTGAGTGTCACAACGATAACATGAGCCAGCAGTACCTAGAGTCAAAGTTCACTTGAAGTGTACTTCATGTCAGAACCCCAAATTAATTAAAATTAACTAAAATTGTAGTAAACCAATGAATAAAAAAAGTCTCGCCCCACCAACAAGCTATATTTTCTCCTCGTTTTATTTGTGTGTGCGCAAATGTATATTAATTATTAATTTATGCCGTTTAAAACACGGTTTTGACAATATTAATATATAATTTATGCAGTTTATATATATAATTTATGTAGTTTAAAATATTTATATACAGTGTGTCTAAAAAAAAGTGAACCTTTCAAATTCAAATTATTCAATTTAAATTGCGTAAGAACACAAGGTCCCATATTTAAATTTTCTAATATAATAAATAATATATAATTTATGCAGTTTGAATATATAATTCAAAGACAATGTGACATTGTCATTTTCTTCATACTTACTGCCATAATGAAAGTCTCTGAGCATTTCCAGTAAAACGACGAAGATTTTGTCCTTCGATAGGCGTAAGACTTGGATATAATACGACAGTTATTCCCATCATATACTTTCCTAATGTTGCACCGCCAGTATTACATGGAAATGATAAAGAAAGAAAGAACGCCTGTAAAAGAAAATGTTATAAAATTAATACAGCACACTTACTTACTATATAGTACAAGGTAATCATCATTACGTACTAAATGGTATGTACAGGGCGGCGGATCTAGCCTCTGCAAGGAGGGGTGCAGGTTTTCCATGGGGTGGTGCATAAAGGAACCTTGCTGCCCACCCTCCTCTGGCACTGCAGTCTGCTACGGTACTATCACAAGATTGCCATTATTTGAGATGGCCGAA